TGGAAAGGGTGAAGAAGTGGTTTTCAACGGAACTATTACTTCGTGGATGAAGAGTAGGGCCTGAAAAACTCGAGCCTTTTTTTCCAGAATAATCTTTTGCTTAGGTTCGCCCATGAATGACAGTTTTAAACAAGTTGTTAAACACCGTTTTATCGCCAACTGGTTGCAAGTGACGTGCGTATTGATGCGGGCGCGCCGCTCTTATCAGTTATTTTGATTTCCATGCTGATCACCATTCTTTCGTTTCCTTCGACCAAAAGCGAAAACGAATGTTAATGGGATGCAATTCTGTAATTAATACTGATAATTTTTGATTTATAATTTTGATTTCTAATCATATTCCGCACATTCAAAGTGTTGCTGCCCCTGGTGACGATGTTTTCTGCGACATGAACATAATTTCCCGGAACACTCTGCAATGTTGGGAATTTTCGGGCGTCCGGTTTTAACCCTCCGAAAAAGCGAGAAAGTGTCGGGTGCAGACCATGCACCACAAGTGACGACGGCCTTCACAAAATGTTAATGTTTTCTGCCAATGAAATGATTAGCCTGTTGCAGTTGTATTCTATCGATTGTCACTAATTACAACTATCATTTACCAGAAATCAGCTATCACTATGAACAACTAACCAGATTTACTTGGAGGCCGTCGTCAGTTGTGGTGTTTGGTCTGCACCCGACACTTTCTCGCTTTTTGAAGGGAGGTTACACTCGCTAAACAGGAAGGTCTTTCAGGTCGTGCTCTGCTTCTTCAAGAATGCTGAGATATGGAACCATGCTTCAATTTCCTTAGAGTGTCCCTCTTAACGGCAAAAAAGGATGAAAGTTTGGTTCATAGGTGCGAATCTCGGAATAGATTGAAGTGTGCATTGTTTGACTGACGCCTGCACGAAGTCGTAAAATGTATGCGCTTGTGAAGGACGCAAACCACCATCAGGACCATGAGCAACCAATTTACAGGGGGCGGCATAAAAAGACATCTTGTCTCCAGACTCAAATGGATTTAATCACACTTTGCTCAGCTCAAAGCGTGTGCTCCCAACTTAGAATTGAAGAGCGCATTTCATTTCATAAGAAAATCTTCATAGTGGCCATCTACGTGGACGGCATCAGAAAAGTTTGCCCCGGAAACATGGTGCTCTGGTCGAGCTCAATGGGGTTCTCGACTGACCTCGTGTACCGTTACGACGGGTTCGAGGGGGTTTGCATAGTTAGAGCTAATGTCCCTAAGGAAACTATCAAGTTGAATCGATCCAAGAAATTGTGTAAGAGCTTCAGGCTGAAGCAGTTACTGTAGGCCTCCCTGAGCTCGACGACGGTGACAGATGACGTCATATTCTGAAGACGGTGAGGGTAGTGAGGAGGGCCTGTGTGTACTTATAGAGGGACATTTCAGGGAATATTTTGCTGAGGAACTTCCGCCAAGCGACGGCAATCTCTGCCAAAGAACCTTGGGGAAAATTCTTTTTTGCACCCCCCGCCTGGTAAGGGGTGATTTTTGCAAAAAATGGTGCGCAGGAACCGCGGGACGCCCTCGGTGGAAAACTCGCGAGTACAACAGAACCCCGGGTGTATGTACGTGAGTCTACCGCGTTTTTGGCATCAGAGAGCTGCTCAGGAAAACTGGGCCATAACTCCGTGTTCGATGCACGTGTTCCTACATCAAAAAGAAAACCTTTTGGAAAGCGGGGCTTGGCCTGAAAGAACTTTCTGGTAAAAGACGCGCCAAAGATCGAGATTCGGAACGTGACCTGAAATTGAAGCTTCCGCTTAGACGGAACATAGTGCCGAAATTGTATGTGAAGTTCCAGCCGCTGACATGAAACATCGCCCATACAAAATCACATCATGTGATGAGCTTGCCGTAACATTTTTAGAACAAAGGTGAAGTGCGTGGCGCATCGTCAATCGACACCCATTCGTAATCAGTATTCTCTTACTAATTTGTCCAACGAATAGGTGGTCAAAATCCTTAGCATCCTTAAGATTCATAAACTATCCATCACCTGGCATGATGAGAACACAAGGATTTACATTGCTGCGACAGTTTGTGTGCTCCTGATATGAACGCACGCGACGCAACCGCACGTTGTTCTCGTCATACTTTGCAGTAAACAGATTGACTTTTGTGTTGTTTACTCTAAGTGATTATTTGCTAAAGCTTTGCTAAGCAGAAGATAAAGAAGGAAAGAAACTCTTGAGATGGTGTTCAACTGGCACTTTGAAAGCTAGGTGTTAACATACATCAATTGGAAATTTGCCAAAACTTGTTCTTTGTCTTGTTTGCTATTTACCTTGTCGTCATGGACCAGTTCCACTTTGAGGCTTTTCTGTGCCTTAATGCTAGGAATTTTCTTGAAGAACAGTTTGTGATCAGGCTAAATTTCAAATTTGGGGCTTAGACGTATTACACTAGATTTCGTCTTCGTTGATGGGTGTGGTCAACTAAAAATTTGCCTAATCAATTTTTGCACGGAGTTATGTCGCCGCAATTGGAGATTCGAAATGCAAGGGAAAAAATGTTTGTCTGAAGCCAGCTTGAGTCGAAGATCGAACTGCGCCATCAGCAGTGCGCTTCCTCGCCGTACTTGTCGCTAATCAGTATCGAACTACGCTCTGTGCTTTACCGTTTCATTGGGTTATGCTGTGTTTTTTTCTTCTTCGTGGATCATATCTTTCAATCGTCTATTCTATGTCGTTTATTATTTTTCTATTATTCAGTTTGTTACAAAAAGTGAAAATGCTTGTTCCTGACCAAGTGAACCCGTGGTATGCTGCTCTTCTAGCTGCTGGTGGAGCAATCGGTTATCTGAAAGCCGGTAAGCAATTATGTTTAATACATCACTGCTTCATTTGGCGCTCATCCCCCGAGGCATGAGCGCCTTCCCTTTTTTCTTTTTCAAGCACTCAAATTTGTTTAACAC